ACTGATTGGTTCAGCGTGCAGCAACACTTAATATGATGAGCTGTTCATCTGTTCTATAGATCAAAGTTTTTCAATTGACTGGCTGTCATACAGAACAGGCCAAGAGTTTGGACACACCTCCTCATTCAATGTTTTGTCTTTATTTTCATGACCATTTACATCGGTAGATTATCACTGAAGGCATCAGAACTATGAATGAACAGGTGTGGAGTTATGTACTTACCCAAAAAAAGGAGAAATAACTGAAAACATGTTTTATATTCTATTTTCTTCAAAATAGCCACCCTTTACTCTGATTACTGCTTTGCTCACGCTTGGCATTGAAGAGCTTCAAGAGGAAGTCACCTGAAATGTTTCCAACAGTTTTGAAGGAGTTCCCAGAGGTGTTTAGCACTTGTTGGCCCCTTTGTAAATATTCATGGTCATGAAAATAAAGAAAACAAATTGAATGAGAAAGTGTGTCCAAACTTTTGGCCTGTACTGTACGTCTATCAGGGAAAAGTTATTTCAAAATATATAGTGCTATCTCTTAATTGCCCAGCCCTATACTTGAGTCATTAACTGATTAATTAACTGGGGTTTGAACTCCACCCACATGGACCAATTAGAAACAAGACTAGAGACTAGGTTAAAGGTTTCTGTTCTGTCCTGGTTCAGGATTCCCTGTGGACCCTGAAGAAAAGCAAACTTCCTAATATGGTTTAATCAGCGTGGGATGCAAAGGTTGTGTAACATTCAAGTTCATCTATCCATTTGTCCATTCATCCCTCCATCTATCCTCTTGTGCATCCATCCTGACATTTATCAAAAACCTGGCTATAGGAGCGAGATCTTCAAGTCCCCAGAACTCCTCCAGACTCCAAGATCTTCTCAGACTATCTAAGACTTATAATATCACTAGACCAGGGGTGCTAAATACATCTTGCAACTAACACTGATCACAAGAGCTAAAAAAATGCCTAGTTGTAACACAAAAACACAAAAATGGTAAAACCATGGCAAAAGCTCATGATCATCACAAGCTTGTACCCTACACCTTTACATCATGGCAGCCCAAACATTGTGTCGCAAATGTGCATCTCTGCCTCATACCCCACCTACAGGAGACACCGAGACGGGAGATGCATGGAAGGTGTGTTTTTCAGTTGTTGAAATATCTAAGACTACCTGGATAAACAGAAACTTGGAAGGTTTTCTCTGATGAAACAACAATAAAGAGAAAGACCAGATAGTCTCTAGGAGAGGTGGGACCTAAAAGAGGACCCAGACAGCTCACAGCAAAAGGTTTAAATGATGTGAAAGTGTGTTAGTGTTTGTGTCACAGCGCAGTTAACACATGGACAGCAGGTAGGGAATGTAGGTTAAGCAGTTGGTGTGTTCCTCTGCTGCCCTGCCAACAGAGATCTGCTCATACAGGTGTAAATACAGCTGCTGGATGCTCCTTTCTGTTGGTCTGTCTCTCTCTCACACACACACTTGCACACACACGCACGCATGCATGCATGCATGCACACGTGTGCACACACACACACACACAAGGGGGAGAGAGGTTGGCTGCACAGACAGACAGATGGTGCTTAGGTATTCCTGTGCAAGTTTAGCATTAAAGCATATGATATCACGCCTACTTTAGAGGCCAAACCTGCTGCTTCACTCTCAGTGTGTGTGTGTGTGTGTGTGTGTGTGTGTGTGTGTGTGTGTGTGTGTGTGTGTGTGTGTGTGTGTGTGTGTGTGTGTGTGTGCATGGATGCAGGATGCACAGCTGTGTGTCCTGACGCATTAATACTGACGTGTCCTCTGGACTGAATGGAGGGTGAACAGTAGGGAGGCTGCCCACCAGGAGTTGATAAAGTCCCACTGAGCAAATACAGCTGTTGGAGGTGTTTCATGACCAGGGAAGGTGGGTGAAAAAATGTCTAATTCTTTCACAGCTTGCACATAAAAGAGCAGGATGGCCACACTCTAAACACAGAGAGCTCTCAACCCATCTAGCCACAGCCACGTAAGTGAAAAAGGTTCAGAGCCACCATGTCCAAACAAAGGCCCAAACGGAGCAGCCTACTGCTGAAACAGTGACCAAACGTGTGCAACCATCTGAAAACTAGATTGCATCTCACCACTTCAAAAGATGACTTTAGCATCTGAAGCCTGGAGTGCTGACAAAGACAAAGCAGGAACATGTGGAATGTGGGATGATGTGTTTGACTGAGACACGGCTGCAGGAGCAGATTCCAGACTTCAACGCCGCTTCACCGGTACTCACGGTGAGACGAAGGCAGCCAAAAGGCCAGAGGGGTGAAGCAGGATGGATTTAAATACCTTTAAATATGAGTTGTCACTGGGAAGGAGCAGAGAGTTATGATGAGTTTTATTCCAGTTATCGATCCAATGAACGTCGCCGTCAAAGCTGTACATATTTACCATCAGGCTCCAAACACTCCAAGAGATTCTAGATATTCTCTAACCTGTGATGTCTAAACACTTTCAACTCTTTCAAAAGATCATTTAATTATTCTTCTTTTTTCGTTTTAAACAATGAACACTTCTATAATACCATTTCATTTGGAGATTGATAAAACAAAGTTAAATGTAATCCAGTGATGAAAATAATACTAATTATTACAATTTAATTAATAATTAAAGGGACTGTAAGGAAGTTTGACAGCCAAAACATGTGTAGAAATAATAAATGTCTTCTTCATACATTCTCCTGCAATGCCCGGGTCCTGTAGAATGAGTCCTGGCATTTCTACTGTGATTGCCTGTTTTTCTGTAAAATCACAGAAAGAGAGAGCTGCTCGGGTCGAGCAGGATGCTTCATGCGTGTTCACGCTCAGGCGTAGCCCGTAGCATTTGCTATCCATAGCTTTAGCAGCAGAGAGAGAGGTAGTGCCGACTCAGCGACTTCGTTGCTGTTCCTAACGCCTAGTGATGAACCTAGCTACATTTCTGAGGACCCTTAGCTACTTTCTGTAGAACTTTCTTCTAGATATTTCCTGCAAATTAGCAACAAAAAGCCATTTTCGCTCCGAACCGTTCTTTGGATTGACGTCGTTTCAGCTGTTTACAAGGATATAAACGTTAGATAGAATCAATGTCACTGGCGCTTTAGTTCACCTAGTAAGATATCTGACTATCATGCAGAAGACCTGGGTTCGATTTCAGGTGTGAACACAATTTGTTATTTGGAGTTTCTTTATTACGTTAATCGTGTATTATTTTACAGTAAGACGCCAAAATTTCTATTTGAGACTCGCCAAATGGCATTGAATTCACAGATGAAAAAGATGTGGGTTGAACTTTCATTTTGGAACAATTTTTCAAGCAAGGCAAGGGAATGATCTGAGCATGCAGGAGGACTGACCCATCATAAACCTTTGTCGGCTGTGCTGAAGAGAAAGGTACAGAACCAAATTATTTAATTAATTAGCTACGCGTTCTCCTGTCCTCCGGGCCACACACACACACACACACGCACACGCACACGCACACGCACACACACACACGCACACACACACACACACGGGACTGTCTCGGCTGTAATTTTCATTAAGGAGTGTGCACCTCATGCAGGAGCTTACTTTTGAAGCTGCAGTTACGCGTTAGGCCTGAGAAGCGATCGCGAGCATAAAAACTTCAAACTTCCTTACAGTCCCTTTAAGTCACACGACCAATAAATCAAAGCCAATATTTAGGCACACATTTTTTCTGAGGAACTCCAGCGAGACACATGTAGTTACATCCATAATATCAATCTCAGCTCTTTAGAAAGAACAATATGCAAAGAGGATGATTTGTAAAAACACATCTAATCTCCTCTGACTGCAGGATAAAAGGATTACAGCAAAGATGCATATCAATGTGGCCGTTTAATAGATTTAGATTCAAGGACGAGTAGCTCCAGAATTAGCAAGAAGTTATTTGGCATTAATTTAAAACAGGGTGCTCAATAAAATGAACATTTTATTAGCTTTTAAACTTTTAAACTGAACACTGTGTTGTTACTAAAAGTCCAAAAATGAATCAGAGAAAAGTTTTATTTCTACATCTTTCTAGAAAAACTATAATAGGAGAAGTAATCCACTCATGATGCTGAAATATTTATGAAAAACAGATAGTTTATTTTTCTGGATCTTAATAGAAGCTCTGCACACGCAAAAAAAAGTTATTTTAAATATTACAAATGAAAAGAAATCTAGAGTGTCAGCATGGCTTAAACACGAGAACGCAATAAACGGCGTTAGCAGAAGGCGGGGGCGCCGTGGACCGCGGGCTCAGAACCACGTTTTTATCCTCAAAGATCACAGTGAAATAAATCCTTCGCCATCTGTTTGAGTCATTAAAGCATTTCCCATTCAAACAGGGCATGAAAATGACATTTAAATGAAAATATTAAAATCTGTCCATATTTGTAAAGCCACCTGTACTGTATGTAAATGCACTGAGAAAGGGCCTGTAGCTGCTGAAGGTCTTAAAACTACATGATTTCAATGCGTGGCAAAGATCCAGAAAAGAAACCGAAGACACAGGTGAGTGAGAGCAGAGCTGTTAAACCTTCACGTCAGCATCTGAGTCCCACTAGCTGATAGGCTGACCCAAACTCAACCTACAGCAGGGCTCTGTTTGTGTTTACCTGCCGGCTCCCAGAAGGACCTCAGCTCTCGTGTTGTGCTTCATTACCATATGCAAAGGTAATGGTGGCCTGAGACAAGAGAAATCCACGAGCAGCAGCTGGGCACGCGCGACGAGAAGCTGTGAGCTGCACAGCGCAACGGCAGACTCAACACAAAGATTTCTACACAGTTCCTGAGAGGAAGTGAGAAGCTTCACCCAGCTGAAGGGAAACTGTAGAAACACTTTTTAGTTTTATAGAACAATTAGAGAGAGGTGGGACTGAGCTCGTGACTCCTGTAATTCTGTTTGTTTACAAGAGCAGGAAAGATGTGTGTGTGTGTGTGTGTGTGTGTGTGCGTGCGTGTGTGTGTGTGTGTGTGTCCTACCCGGTGCGTTTGGTAATGGTTCCTAGGGTCATGGGCTGTTTGATCTGAGCCAGAGGCAGGACCATCGTGAGGGAGGGCAGCGAGGTGAGTCGCGGGTTCCCCATGTTGTTGTTGGCGAAGTTGTTGTACGAGTCCTGGTTGCTCAGTTTGGCTGGAAAACAATCAGATGGTCCATCAAAATGTGCAAAGGCTGCTATGAAAATCTTTAAAGCACTACTTGGTTCTACAGAGTTGAAGTCATAATGTGGTCTCGGCATCACACTGATCTGTTGGAGTGAACTAGATTAACTCAAATCAAAATGTTCCCGATGGGTTCTTGGTGGGTTTGAGGCTGGCTCCAGACAATTCTGACTACATCAATAAAAAGAGACTAACAGAACAGAACAGAACAGAATAGGATAGAATAGAATAGAGTAGAATAGAATAGAATAGAATAGAATAGAATAGGCTTCATTGATCCCACAGTGGGGAAATTCACTTGTTACAGCAGCACAAACACTTAAGAGAATAATTGAAAGAAAAATAATAACGAAGGTACGTGTGCATACACATAGGCAGTAAGCTAGTACTGTAACCTTTGATCACTAAAAAACACAAATAAAAATGAAGAACTTGGGTTCCAGCACTATGCAGCAGTCTGTAAATCTGGTATTGGGCAGGTATTGAACACATACTAACAAGGAACCTGAGAACCCTCAAACAATTTGAGACATTTTGAGAAACTCCTTCCAGAATATGGTTGTGTTAGTCACCAACAGGTACGGCCCACTAAGGTACAGCATGAAAGCACCAATCAGCAGCTTCTCCAGTTAGATTGTTAGAGGAGCGCTTGGAATCAGAGTAAATACTGAAAACCCGTTATACTGTACCTAATTCAGGCTTCTGTGCTCACTTTTTCACTTCATTGGTCAGCATGAAAATCAGATTTAAAACATCTTCTAACATTCACTTCAAACTGCACACTGGAGCATGGGAGGGCTTTCTTCAGCTCACTCCATCTTCCTGTCCTTCTGCTCTGGGAGCATCCCACCACCTCCCACCCTCTGTCCCGCACAAACGCACAACCAGGTTCAGGTCCTCCAGGGGAGCGACTGGAAGTAACCAGTTCAAGATGCTGCATGAGCTCTAGAGGCCAGCAGGCAGCTAATCAGGTCAAATCAGCGTGCGCGCGCACGCACACACACACACACACACACACACACACACACGCACGCGGGCACACACACACAGTCAAAGATGATCCACAGAATCACATCACAGCTATAGTCAGACCTGATTAGTCAACTACTGAGTCCTGATTACTGTGACCAGCGACATCACCACCACAGACCGTCTACAGCTGACAGGAGTGCCCCTTTAGACAGAGACGGGTCTAAACTCCGTCTGATAAGGGCAGACAGCAGTACACACATTCAGACTTAATGGCAGAAAAAACCGAGAGCACAACTGTGTGCATGACGAGTTAGACAGAATGTGTTTTGCACAAAACCAAAACATTTGTTTCCAGAGCTTGACTACAGTAGCAACAGTAAGGAATGTGCTAATGAAGAGTTGACACCAGAGACGTTCTACAGGCCAGAATACCTCACACGATAGCACTGATTCCTCAGCTTATACTGTCATTATTAAACGATGCAAAGTAATAATGCTCAACTTTACACACACACACACACACACACACACACACACACACACACACACACACACACACACACACACACGTCACACACACACACACACACACACACACACACACACACACACACACACACACACACACACACACACACGTCACACACACACACACACACACACACACACACACACACACACACACACACACACACACACGCACTAGAGGTGGGAAAAATGATCGATTCTAAGATGCATCGCGATTCAGCCGTGCATGATTCTGCATCGATGCAGCAACGTGACATAATGAGATTTTCTCCCTATGTCCATGTCTATGTTCTGGACGCGCGAGGACAATAAAGTTTTGAGGTTTTATAATTACTTCCGGGGGCAGAGTTGCAATGACATGCACACTACGTTGCCCTAGCACCAATTTAAAACAGAAATAGCGGACAGGGTACAGGGCCAACATGACCAGTAATCAAAGACGTACCCGTTCCATTTAAATCGGATGTCTGGGCTAATTTCGGTTTTGGGATCCTGGATGTGAAAGAATCACTTAACACAGTATTTGTTTACTATTTTTAAGTTCAGTAATATTCTATCTTAAAGCTGCTCTACTGAAAACATTATTTCTTATATTATTTAAGTAATTATAGGCAGCACACTTTAAAAATATTGCTCACTATAGTGAATAGATGTATGTTCTGTTTTTCAGGGATATCAAAATCAAAAAGAAATTGAAAACTATTTTACTGCTTTTATTAAGTAATGAAAACTTTAGTGTGAAGAATCGTGATGCATTTCAGACTCAAATAGAATCTTTAGGCAGATAATCGGAATCGAATCGAATCGTGAGGCAGGTAGAGATGCACACCACTAACACACGCACAAATTTTTAACATTTTAATAGTTTTTTTTTTGATAAGTCAAGCAGCGCTAAGCTAATTTAACCTTAAAACTATTTTTTTTTTATTTTCCCTGGCTAAATGGTTTCTGAGGCTTGTTTTAGTTTTCAGGTGCTGCTGGACAAATGTGGTTAATAAGCATCAGTGTAGATTAGAGCTGTTCCAACAGTGTAGTTTTTATTCTGTCTGAATGAATCAGCACCACAGCAGGTTTAACAGCACACTGTAGAGGGAAGGTACACATCTCCACCAAAAGGGCCACGAAACTCCAGCTGGATGGATGTGTGGATTATAAAACCAGTATGTTTGTAATCCCAACACAACATCTAGAACAAAACGGGTCTCCTGCTGGAAGGCCGAGGAACATTCCAAGTTCAAGAACTTTCTAAAGACATAAGCAGTAAGCCAGTGGGCGACCACGCCGACTGTTTCCCTTGCTCCAGTAACAGATGAGTGACAGCCACCGAACATAAAGACAAGGAGGGAGGGGCAGCGAGGACAAAGACAACAAGACCCACATCAAAAGTTACAACAAAGGGGGGGCAGATGAGAGTGGCGGGGTGGAGGGGCAGAATGAGGCCGCTTAGTGTTTGGGTCCAGTCTTTAGAGGTTCACGTAGCTCGGAGTTCATTAGTCCTGCCGACGCTGAGCTTTGTGGTCCTCCATCAGTCAGTCCTCCACCTCTGTTGGCCCACAATGCTGTGTGACCTTCACCAGGAGGGGGATGAGGCCATTATACAAACTGGTCCACACACACACACATATGTGCGTGTGGTAATCAACTGATTTGGGTCAAGGAGTTAGCAAAGAGGAGTGTAACAAATGAGGATTGGATGTTTGGGGACCCAGGAGAGGTTTGTAGCTAAAGAGGTGTATGTGTGTGTGTGTGTGTGTGTGTGTGTGTGTGTGTGTGTGTGTGTGTGTGTGTGTGTGCGTGCGTGCGTGCTTGTATACGTGGAGTTGGGGCGGAGGAGGAATAATCTGTCCAGGAAGGAGCCTGAAAGGCCATAATGGTGCTTGAGCTACGAGGCCAAGTGGGGTGCAAACGGAGTTTCTACTTCTGAGCAGCTGATTTGTTTTCCATCAACCTCCCTTCTCAGCGTGAGCACGGCGCTGAATCGTTTAACAGGTGGTACCGCGTCAAGGGCGTGACGGCTTCAGGACTGTGAGGTGACGATCACTGTAGGACCAACTGTCACAACGAGCCATCTCAACCCTCCAGACAGTGAAGACCAGTTAGCACCAGGAGTTGATGGGTAAAGACGGCTCAGGGGGGGGGATCCGAAACAAATGCTTTTCAGTTTGAAGAGTTTGTGTTGAATGACTTGGTTCTAAAGTAAAATCCTCTGAATGATGGAATGGTGTCAAAGTGCAGACCTGCTGTTAACAGGCAGAGTGATGCAGCACACTTATGCAAACAAGTGATTAAAGGTGCGCCGACGTCCTGCTCCAATAAACAGGGAGGGAATCAGGCCTGAGGCCATTTTATCACAAAGACTCAAAAACGTCTACGGAAACATTATTATTGTCTGGTTGTGTTCACGAGTTAGAGGACTGATCTTTCACTGTCAGAGGGTTTATTGTCAAACGGGAGGGAAGGAGGCGTAAAGAAACCCCCAAGCACAAAAACTAGTTTGAATATCAAAGATCCTTCTCACCACCAGCTGGTATTAAAGGGCTCCCCTGAAACTGTTGCTCTCACAACAAAACACAAAGATCTTCAATAAAAACCGGTGGAAACAACATTTTAAAGGAATCTTCTGTTCGTGAAGCTCAACGGAGAGAAAGAGAGAGAGAGAGGTAGGTAGCTGAGAAGTGGTCAGACGACTTTAGGCGACGGCTGTGATTTGATTAATGACCGGGGCGTGATGTACCCTAGCACTGATACATGGCATCTCCATGGAAAGAAGATCCATCAATGCAAATCCTGCTCAGTCCAGAGGAAAAATCTGACCCTGCGAAAAAACTTCACACCAACACCTGACCCTCGCCTTTTCTTTCTGCCTTAATCCATCCATCCGTCCAGCTCTATTCCATCCATCCCTCGCTGTTTCAACAGTATTTGCATTCTCTTCTCGCTTTAAGCCTCCCTCTCTATCCTTTGCGCCCTTTCTCTCTTCTCGGCCTCCCCATGTCACGCTATCTCATGTTTCTATTCCCTCTTTTAATACCCAATTTGCATCCAATACAAGCAGGCGGCCTCCAACGAGGAGCCGATGTGCGAAAGGACAAGCTCTGAAGCCCACGCAAACACTGTGTCTTATTTGAATCGTTCTGCCTGAGAGGAGATTTCAGTTCAAGGAAAAATAAAATCTGAAGGGCAGTGGAGTTGGGAGGTGTGAGGAGGCAGCAGGTTGGGCAGGTGACGTGTTGACTGATGCTCTGGGATTTAGGATGGCCTTGAACCTGAGGAGGACTCGGCAGCTGCCAGAAACAGAGACGCGGTGTGGGAAAGACATCTACACGTCCAAACAGGGACATCTTTTATGGGCTTATTCTTTGAAGATGCTATTGCAAGGACTTTCTTTTGCTTACTTCCTATTTTTATGGCCAAGAAGATAAATCGTTGCTCTTAACGTGTATTGCAGTTGTTGAAGCTATTAACATAAAC